ACAAATGAGCCAAACAATATTTCAAATGAATAACATAACCATATTGAAGGGTAGGAGGTGGTGGGTAGAGAACTAGCCCAAATAATTTTTGAAGACAGACTATATTTCCTCAGCTTAAAACTCTATAAACAAACATGAATTCTAAGTAGTAGGCTCCTTCCATTTAGAGCCACAGTTAGCAAATCTGATACTATTTTCTGGTTATGGCACTGATCAAATAAGTAAATATACTGTTGCTAATGAAAGCTAAATTTTTCACTGTCAGAGAAGTGACTTATAAAGATGAATAGGAAAAGGACAGAATGAACTCTATAATGGTGGGTTAGGATTAAAGGTATCAGCAGGAACACACACTTTTTAATATACATATAGATGCATGTATGTATATGAGGGTACTTCAAAAAGTTTGTGGAAAAATGGAATTAAAAGATAATATGAATCTTCTTGAAGACTCTTTGTACATATACTTTTTGTATACGTACAAGAACTTTTTGAAGACCCTTTGTATATATACATATATCTACTTACTAACTCTGTTGATGTGGCATGGCAGGCATTAGTCTAAACCTAGCAACTAGACATTGATTTCTAATGCCATTCTCTACTAAAAAGAACCAGGCTTCCTTGAAGAAATGCTGGGGCAGGGCAACTACAAGATAAATGTAGAATATCCCATGCCAGAATGTAAGAAAGTCCTCAGAGAATGATGAGATCACAAAAGGACATGGGAGCTAGCTTGAAGAGGCTCCCACTGGAAATTTGGGAAAATCTGAGCATCAAAATAAACAATAATAAAGGGTTATAAGCCATGGACTAATCTAAGAATCCACTGAATCCACAATGATGTTAAACAAACAAACAAGAGAGAGGGGAGAGCTCTCTTTTTTCAGTAAAAAGTAAACCAATAAACATAGAAAGAAAGATGAAAGTGGAAAATCACCATTTGGCAATTATCACAATAACTGACTTAGACAAGACTCTTTAATGGATAACAAAACCAGTGGGAACAAGTTTGATGAGTAACAGGATATTTACATCATTTCAAAGAGTATCCCCATAACATATGTACTGATTACAAAGAAAAACCATAGGTACCATGCAGGAACCTGGCAAACATCACCTTAGCCAAGAGATCAAAGTTAATTTAACCTCACCAGTAATGGGACAAATCCACACTGTGTGCCATGATATGATGCACTGAGAACATCACTTCTGTGGTGATCCTGCCAAAAGTCCACAACCTAAATCTAATCACCGGGAAGCATCAGACAACTAAACTAAGGAACATCCTGCAAAATAATTAGCCCATTACTTCAAAAATGTTAACACCAAGAAACACAAAGAGAAACCAAGGAACTTTAATCTCCAGAGTAATGGAGACTTGTAATTTTCTTTTGCTATAAATAGAATTTATATTTTGCGACAAGTATAAATAAAATAAAGTGTAGGATCCAATGAAATAAAGCATGCCAAGGCTTGCTTACACTAAGAGACACCTATTCCAGAGCCAGACTGCTTAGGTCTGAATCCTGCTTAGCCATTTACTAGTTGTGTGACCTTGGGCAAGTGACTTAACCTCTCTATGCCTCAGTTCTCTCATCAGTAAATGGGTATAAAACATTATCAACCTCTAGGGTTCTTGTGAAGACTAAATAATTGATAAAAGCACTTCGAATAGTACCTGGCACATAGCAAGCACTGTATATATATATTGTATATTATATTTCATATTAGCCAGAGCCTTTGCAGAAAAAAAACTAAAAATTTTATTAGCTATCATTATCATCATTAAAAGAAAAAGTTAAGATTAATAATACAGCATTTTTAAAACTTTAATTTCCACCTTTACAGAGCATCTACTATGCCTCCAACACCAGACAATAAAGAAAAATAAAAAAAAATAATGTAAACTTCAAGGCTCAATAGAGTTTTCTCATTCCAATACAATCTGCCTAAAAAGAGACAGAATTCAGATGTACAGAGCCAATTTTAACTCTATCCTTAAACACAAAGTGTCTATCAATGTCTTGAAGCGAAATGAGTAATACTACGAGTTATTTCACAAAGATTTCTAAAAAGTTTAGCAATTTAGAAAGCAGTTATATAAAATTATAATAAAATCATGTTACTAAATAATATTACACATTATTATGTCTTTCTAAGAGAACAGGAAATAACTGTCCAACTGCTAAGTGAATCAAACTACCTTAATTAAAACACATTCTAATGAGTTTATGATTTTAAAAAATGATTCCTTGAGAAACCATTCTCCCATTCACTTCCTTTTACTGATTATTCCATAATTCTATCCTTCAAGGGGGAAAAAAAATCCCTAAAATTAATACCAATGTACATAAAACCAAAAACCTAACCTTTATACCAATATAGGAATTATTTTAATTAAAAAAATGCAGCTCATATGGGCCTGCCTTTTTTCAGAAGGGGCAGTGAGAAAAGATGATACAGGAAAAAGAGGATTCAGTACCATTATCACTGGAACCTTGATGTCCACAATGTATCTGTTTCCATCCTGTAATTCTCTGCAGATCTATGTCAACCAGAATGTTAAATGACTATTCTTGAATGATATTTATTTCTCTGTGATACATCAGAAAACTTACCTTTCTACCACCAACCATAGACTTCTACCAAAATGGAGGACCAGTGGGTACCTGGCAGGTGGTGATGGGAGGGTGGGGGGAAGGGTGCAAACTAAAGTCCCACAGGAAGCATCATCACTCAGTCACCTTGACCTTTCTGCAGCTTTCCACTCACCCATGTGGAGAGAGAATAAGGAAAAAGCAAAAACAATGGAAATAAGGAATTAAACACCTGTTACACACCAAACACTGCAAAGTATTATGCCATTTAATGTTCAGATGGTACAGTAGATGACTTTGCAGTTGGGTAGGTTCACTGATTTGCAGAAAGGACTCTCAGCAAGTAACTCCTGGAGCTGTGACTAGAACACAGTGAGCGATTTAAAAACTGTGCTCAAAATTTTTCCCATGTCACTCTTCCTTTCCAGCAACAGGGCCCCTGTTTATTGTCCAAATATACAAATCTCTTTCCTTCTTTTGTTTAAAAAGAAAAACACATTTCATTATAAGAATTTTCAAAAATACACAGAAATAGAGAAGAGAATGTAAGAATTCATATGTGCCCAATACCCATCCTCACCACCGTGCCATTCTTGTGTCACCTGCTCCTCTCCCTACCTTTTTTTTCCTGAAATACTTAAAAATAAATCCTAGACATTTCATTTAAACTTCAAAATATCTCTAATAATTTAGAACTTTAAAAAAAATTATAACATTGCCACATCTAAAACAATCATTCCTTACTATCACCGAATGCCCAATTCCTCTTAAAATATCTCTGATAATCTTTAAAATGTCTTCTTTTAGTTGGTTAGCTGAAATTAAGATCCAAACAAGGTCCACACCAGTTTTGGAAGATATGCCTCAATGTTCAACAGTTCCTTCCCCCTCTTCCTTTCTTTTTTTAAAATGCTATTTATATGTTAACAAACTAGGTCATTTGTTCTATAGAATTTTTCATATTCTTTATTTAATCCTTAAGGTCAGTATAGTATATTTCTCTATCTCCTTTATTTTCTATAAAGTGCTAGAGGCTTGACCAGATTGTGGTTCACCTTTTTTCATTGTTGTTTCACGGATGCTCCAGTGGTACTGTCTACTCTCTACTGCATCCTCAGGAGGCACTTACCAGCCAGATGTCTTCTATTAGTACCACATCCAGAGGTGATTTGAGTTCCCACAAGTTCATCCAACACCTTATAGGAAGGTATTTTAAAAAGTTCATGAAAACATTTGTATTATCTTTCAATTCTATTTTTCCACAAACTTTTCTTTTGAAGTACCCTCATATTCATGGAACTATGCATGTGATCAAACTACAATGTTAATCAAGAGTTGACTGAGAGACAACAGAGGTTATCACTCAGCAGCCAGGGACACAGGGCAGGAATATGTCATCTGGTAGATAACAGGCCAAAAAGTAGAGAAGAGATGAAGGATTTGGCTAGAGATGGAGAGGCCACAGAATGAACATAGTATGTTTTCTAAAGAATGGGATACTGGGTTCCTATAGTTCTGAAAGATATTTCACACAGCTAGGAATAAGTGATTCCAATAAACTCACAGAAAATTCAAGAGTCCTTAATTTCATGATATTAGTTCACCAAAACAGCCTTATAAATGTTTCCACCGTTCTTGCTTATGAGAAAGGTACTGATCTCTAAGCCAAAGTTCTAAACCTTGGCTGCAAAGCAGATTTTCCTGGGAAGCTTTTAAAATACTGAGGGTTTGGTCCCATCCAATAAATTCTCATTCAATTGGTCTAGAATGGGGATCAGGTATAGAGTATTTGTTTAAAAGTCTCCTCAGGTGACTCCAATATGAGCTGTAATTGAGAACCACTGCTCTTAAGAATAACAATAACAACTACTATTCACTAAGCATATACTGTGTGTCAGGTACTGTTCTACGCACTTTACATGTACTAGTTCATTTCCTATTTTACAAATGAGAAAACAGAGAGGTCAGGTAACCTGCCCCAGGTCACACAGCAAGCTAACGGCAGTTATGCTTTAATCACAGAAATCTGGATCCAAAACTCATGCTCTTAATTGCCATGTCATACGGCCTCCTAAAATAAATTATACTTGTATTCTTCAACTGCAAATATAATGATCAAAGGAAAACATAAAAAATGAGACAATTAACTTCTTCCTTCATAAAATTGGCATCTTGGGCAAAGGTACCAACACAGGCTTATTAGAAAAGTAAATAAACAGGGTAAAGAGACAAGAATTTTTTCTTCCCAAAAGATTCAAATTTCAGATTTCCACATTTTCAATGGTTTCCCACGTCACTTTATGTAGCATCGTAATTCAATGTTAAGAATCAAAAATTGCTTTATTTTTAAAACTTGAGGCAATGATGTATTACACGTCCATTTAAAAGAAAATGTCCTACCTATTTCAGTTCTGCTGACTCCAATTCCATTATAAATTCTCAAGTAATTAAAGTGGCAAGAATCAGAATCTTCAATGTCAAAGTCACCAAACTTGATTCGAACTCTCTCTCCCAGCTTTACTCGGATCTCCCACTCGCAAACAGTGCTGTTGGGATAGGTCTGTGGGTAGTTTATGGACGTAAGGGTTCCACTTTCAGGGCCCAGTACAGTGTGTCCACATCCATCACCTTTAAAAAAAGTTAAAAGAATGATAAATTGTCCTTACACTTTAACTTATACTATAGTAATCACGATTTTTTGTGAGGATTTTAAAATGTGTATGACATATTGGGGTCGTTTATACCACCAATACTTTCTTTACACAAGATGAAACAATGACATACCTCTTAGGAGCCAAGAGAAGCCAAGTCAGGTCAAAATAATCAGTGATAACCTATATAACTTATAAGTTCAAAGAACTTTCAAATCTGAACAAATAAAAGTAAGCATAACTTAGCAATAATTAAATATATATACATATAATAAATCCAATCTTTAAAAGAGTATCAATTTATAGTAATTGTTCAAAGTAAATGTAAAATATAAAAATATGTGATCAGCTTCATTTATTTATTCACAAATATCACGAACTCCCAAAATCTTTGTGAGAAGCTGAATGATTTCTAAAACACACTTAATATATACTAAAGACTATGCAGATTACTGGTCATATTATAGATTACAAGGCATTCCTTCTTCAAGGTGTTAAAGCAATATTTAATGAAGTTTAATTTTATATTCTACTGAAATTTGACTTTCTAGTAGTCCCTCCCCCAAAATGTTATTTTTCGCCTATAGAATGAAGAGAAAAAAAGTAACAGTTTAATTAGGAAAAATGACCTTTATACCTTGGTAGCAGCACTATTTGCTCCAGAAATTTCTTCAGCAACTGGATATAGAAACTAAGGTAACTTAACATATTGTTTGTAAAAATGAAATATTTGCATCCTTCCCTTTATCACAAAGTTTGTCTTTTTACAGAGCACCCATAAGGAGGCATTAATGTTCATTTTGAAGTTTCAGCAGCTTCTCCAATTGTACTGTTCAGCATTCTGTAACAACGGGATTCAAATGGATCTTTGGAATAGGATGATGAATGTACCCTTTTAAAATAATAGCATTTTCTCTTTCCAAAGAGTTATTTATAATCACCTTTTGCAATAGTATGGTATATATACAAAAGTACCATACAAAAGGCTACATTAAAAGAGACACTGCTGGGTTTTAACCTCAATATGGACACAGACAGCTGTAAAAGAATTTTCAATTATCTTCATCTATTATTTTTAAAAACAATGTAGTGCTGACATCATTTTCTAAAATAAATAAAAGCTTTTAAAAAGCCTATGAATAAGAAGTTCACATAGTATTTAGCAAGTAGTGGATACTAAATAAATGTTTATCGATTAAATGAATAAGAAAACTGTACATTATCCCTTGAAAAAGTAATTTCAAGCTAGTGTCTAACTTTAATAAAGGAAAAACTCTGCACCTAAATTCTTATGACAATACTTAAAAAGCCATATTCTTTTCTGATAAAGAAATCTTATTCTCAAGTTCATGTTAGCATTGCTCCCCAGTCTCCTTTTAAAGATCAACAACAGAAATCTGGCTCCCTAAACAAATATCTCTCATATGAAGTTCAGCTTTTAATCAACATTAAACTTTAGCTATCTTCTACACCTGCTTTCATTTTACACACAACTAGGCATAGAAGCTCAATAATATAAAAATATATAAAGTCAGAATGGAATAAACATGTTGAGGTTTTGTGCAATATGATCACCGATCTTTTGCAAATATAAAACTTAGGATGTCACACAATTCAGAAAAGAACCCACAAATTTCCCCTGAAACTACCAAAATACCTTGAATATCTCTGCTGGATATGAGCAAAATTAAAAACACAGGGATATAAAAACCTCCACTGTGAAAACAAATGAATTGTAATATAAGTAACTTTTGAACAATCATTAACATCTTTCCTTAGAGAAAAAAAAAACTCTCCTGAGTTTTTAAAATAATGAAACTAGTCTGAAATGTTCTCTTACTATTGAAGAGATAAAAACATACTTCCTGGAAGTTTCAATCTTTAAAAAATAACCACTGAATAAGTGAGATAACTCAAAATAGAAATGTATTTTCTTTAATAAATGAAACTAAGGCAGCTTTTTAAGTGATTGGAAGTGTTAATGGATTTCAGAAAGCCAGGAATCTTCTATTAACAGCTGAATCCAATAACACTTTGTAAGGGCCAATTGTCACATTTAATGTATTCTCCATAGCTATTATTCAACTTAAGGTTGTCATTTTACAAAAAGAGTACAAGCAGAGTGAGTAATTTTTAGATATCTTTATGTGCATGTTTGTGTTTGATTCTCAATAAATAAACAAAATGTTTCTTGAGCTTTCCACCATAACGCATAATTTCTACAACAGTTAACAAAGTAAATACTAACTGATGAAAAACAGGACTTTTGCAGCACGCTGAAGAAGAAAATTAAAACGGAGCTGTCTTTTTTCAGAATCTGGTGTAGGGGGAGGGCGTGAACAGTCCACAAGTAATGAGCCAAGAATGTTCTAAAATATGTGATGGACTTCAGAGCTTCCTCCTCTCTCAAATAAGATGATATGCACCAGAAACCAAAGTTAAAAGTAAGTCTCTAACATACTGCAATGAACAAGTTTTAATATTTCATATATCAAAGAATATTTGATAAGTTTAACCTGATTAGAGAAGTAGCTAAACTAAGCACGTACTGCTATGGAGTGTACATTTAGAGTAGTCCAGTTCAAAAGGGAAGGCTGGGCATATACATATTCACTAGGCCAGCAGCTTCATATGTTTTTTCTGTTATTCCAAAATAAGAAATTCATTTTACATTTTGACCTTATATACTCTTGCATGCATATTCCTGATCCACTAAACTATTTCATGACCCACTAATGAGTCCCCATTGCAGTCTAAAAACCACTGTACTAGGCAGCCAAAGGTCATAATGTTGAATTCTCAAATCAAGAAAAAACCTTGCCCTCACTTTCACCCTCAAATTAGTAATGTGTTTCCAGTTTATTTTTACGGTTCTTAATAAAGCCTATTCTACCAAGATACTTCAAATATGATAAAAAATTTAAACGTAAACCTAAAACCTGGAAAATATTCTTTACCTCCCATTTGGCAATATGTGGAGACATTTCTGGTTGTCACAACTGGAGGGAAAGGGGTATTACTGGCATCTACTGGGTAGGGCCAGGGATGTTGTTAAAACATCTTACAATACCCAGGACAGCCACCCAAAACAAAGAATGATCCACCCTAAATGTGAATAGTACTGAGGTTGAGAAGGGCTGACTTAGAGCCAAGGTTAGGAAATCTCAGACTGAAGATCTGGTTTAGTGCTTGGCTGGGTTTCATTTGGCTGAAAGGGTAATGCTGTTCTATTCACTAAGGGTACAACCCACGGAACAGTGTTCTCCCAAAGGTCAGCAGTTATACTGAAGAGTTTTATGTTCCCATTTTATACAAGTAAATGAAATACTTTATTTTTCTTTAAGTTAAAGGAGTGGGGGGGGGAGGTTCTTTTTCTTAGTCTACAAGCCTCAAATCATTTTTTTTTTTCTGGGTCAGGAGCTCTTAACATGAGGAGGGAAAGGGTGCTACTAGGGTCAGGAGCAACCATCCCCAAATGTTCTGATTACCTTTGTACTGTGGGAAAAATAATGATCTGTGATCAGGCTATTCCACCTATTATTACCCATTTTCATAAGGCAGATTTGACAAAAAGAGTATAACTACTACTGGGAAAACAACTTTCAAATGGATATCATAGAACCAATCCATACACCCTCACCAACACCTCCAATATCACCAACCCTTCTCCAACTCCATCATCACCACCATCACCGTCAACTTCTCCTCTTCCTTTCTCCTCCTACCCCAGATGGTCTCCACCAGACTCTATATGACCATAAAGGGTAGAAGCCTGCTAATGTAATTTTTGAATTTTAATTTTATTTCAGTGGAGAAAAACAATGGAATTTGATCTTACTGCTCCTTTGCTCAGATTTATCTAGGGGATTACTCGTAGAACATGTTCACTTCCTCTGAAGAGTGTAAGGTCAGATGTGTTAAGCCAGATACAAATTTTGATATTGTTCCAGGAAAAGAACTGAATATTTTTTTTTTTACTACTTATCCCTAGAGAAAACAGAAAGAACATAAAACATGTTTAAATGATAATGAATTAATGCAACAAAGAATGCAAACTTATTTTAGGCTACTCTACTTAAACTCCAAATCAAGTGTGTTTTTTGGATAAGTATGTGCTCACGATGCTGATTACATGTGACCCTCCCAATGCACCCAGACTTTAATCATACTACTACTAATAAATAATATATATTATCTTAATTATTGAATTTTAATAATGGGAACACTCTTCAAAATTACTTCCTTTAACAACAGCAAATACAAATGCAGGAAGCTAGTACAAATATGGTAAAAATATGGAGCAATGTAACTTTTATTATAAGTTATGATTATTATAATTATAAACTATAAAAGGTTTATACTTTTCCAGTGAGCTTTCAAGAATTTTTTTCCTTTTTTTAATCACTGTGAAAGGTGAGTCTGAGTATACATCCTCTAAATAAGTGTCACTTCTGTCACATCTTATAATACATCTGTGAGATCTTTCAAAAAACAAAAAACCAGCATGGAGCATTTAGAAAGTAAAAAAGTGTTCAAAAGAATAAGTTGCAACTGTTAACTAATATCCTATTTCATCTGGCTACAATAAAGTTTTTAATGTATTATTTAGCACTGTGAATTTTTAAACCATTAGTACTATTATCAGTCCTATAATGATGAAGTTTCTTGAACTGCATCACTACAAATCTCAAACAGAAAATTCAAGGTACTACTTTAATTTCACTTACTTTTTTCTTAATGTCCTCTTTGTCCCTAGTAATTTTCATTATTCCAATGTCAGTTTTGTCTGAAACTAACATAGGTATTCCAATTTTCTTTTGATTAGTGTTCACATGGCATATCTTTCTCTACTCCTATATATTCTTTATTGTAGTAAAATATACATAACATGAATTTATCATTTTTAATACTTTATTTTTTAGAGTAGTTTTAGGTTCACAGCAAAATTGAGTGGAAGGTACAGAAATTTCTCATATA